AAACCTTCATGTTTTTTAATCGAGCAGAAACAAAACTGATTGTTGTTTAAAGAAAAATATTTAATTAGATCTAGAATAGATTACATTTTTTTTTCTTTTTACAATTAATTGTTTATGGGGAAATTTTAGGAAATTGTAAATTATTTTTATACTTGTTTTTTCTTAGGTTGTGTACAAATAACTGAACACTGAACGATCTGTTAAAAAAAAGTCAGTGCAATAAAAAGTGGTGAGCTTATAACTAGTATTGTCTTCATCAAGGTTAGAATAAAAGCCTAACAAGAACAATGTCTTTAAATGGCGTGTTAGAAACTTGATACATTTGCATTTAAGTGGATGGAAAAAATGTGCTGTTTATATTATGACTCATACTTAAATGACAGGAAAGGAAAAGTAATTATAGAATGCAGATGAAACTAGGTAGTAATTTCAGAGTAGAAAGCCAAATTGATGTTTATCATAACCCAGTTATTACAAAAACCAAAAGCTCAAAAATTTATGGCTTTTGTTTTTTTTTATAATAACTGGGTTATTTTAGTTATTTTACGTACGTGACAATTAGGTTACCTATAATTTAATTGATTCCATGTTAATATAAGATTACCGCCCAAATGTTTCTAATTATTAGTATGAAAGACACTGAATAAACCTACATAACCTTTTCACGATTATTTCTACACAGTAGAAAAATGAAAATGATATCGGGGATAGCCATGTTATTATATGAAAAAATTGTCAATCAGAATCCTGGTAACTTATACGTTTATTTGCTTATCAGTTCCTAGTCTAGTACTTTATTAAAGGGTCACTTATTTTCGTTGCCTATAGGGCGCGTTGATTGTGTATATATGGCATGTGTTTTGACGAACTTACACTGTATGTTTTATATTATGACTGAGTAGGCACTACTGACTGTCGAGATGGTACGTGGTGTGATATATTTCTTGAAATGTTAATCCTTTCATAGGATGTCGAGCAAAAAAAAAAAGAAAAAAAAAGTGGTCGGACGAATATGTACAATATGATTTCACATGTAGAACGCAGTGGCGTAGCTAGGATTTTCGGGCCCCTATGAAAAATTATGAATGGGCCCCTTCGTCAGCCGTTAGGCTACAAGTAAGTTAAACATGTGCAGCGGAGAAATCGATTGTGTGTTTCAGTGTTTCTTCCAGACTTTTTTTCCGGGGGGGGGGGGGCATTGTTAAAAGTTAAAAGTAAATGTTTTAAGTATATATTTTCTATATAAATTCCATCTCGTTGGTGGGGGGGGGGGGCGATAGACTCTCTCCCGAAGTGATCAGAGTTTCTTCCAGGCATCTCTTCGGGGGGGGGGGGGGGGGGGGGGGCGGGGGGGCTAAGCCCCCCCCCCCCCCCCCGAAAAAATTCTACCGCCCCTAACGAATTAAAATTTATATAATTTATATAGAAAATATATACTTTTAACAGTGTCCGCCCCCCTCCCCCCGAAGAAAGTCTACCGCCCCCCGAACATTTCAAGTGCCCCCCCCCCCAGAGAAAAAAGTCTGGAAGAAACACTTGAAGTGATGCGTGGAAGAAACACTGCTACTAACTAGGGAGGAGGTGAGTTACACAATCAGTAAACGCTCAGGTGGACCCGATCTTGTGACCACTAACTAAACACAATTTTAAAAAATTGTATCATGATTTATATAGATTTGATTTCTTTTTCAAGCTTTTAAGTTTGCAAAATGTTTAATGAGCTTCTTTATCTGGCCAAGTTAATGAACCAAATACAATTTGTTTTATAACATGATCATAATATACAAAGAATCAGATTTTAAAATCCCATCATAGACAACAAAATCTTCTTCTCAATCTCCCTGGAATGTTAATGAATTTTTATACGGAACTGGCGTACCCGTCCGCATTTCTGCGACCTAGTCGTGCATTTTAGGGAGACAGAAGAGAGATGCAGGTTTCTGTATGGGGGGAGGGTAGGGAGTTTCTCACTCAGGTTTTTAGCGATACGTGTGAATGAACGGGTGTTGGGTGTCGTATCTCACACAAAAGTCAAAGTTGAAATTTATTTATAGGTTGATTCTCTGAATGGCTTGCCAGAACTGTGGCAGTGCCTGTGGTCTTATTAATACGGGTTGGTCCCTTATCCAAGACACCCCTCACCCCACACTCAGCGACTGTGATGTTATTAATATGGGGTGGACGGACAGTGAACCCTGTTTGACGCCGCCCCTCCCCCACATTCAGCGTCTGTGGTGTAATAATTTCGGCGTACGCCCTGTTCGACACCAGCCCTCCCCCACTTTCAGCGTCTGTGGTGTTTTTAATACGAGAGGACCATGTTCGACGCCAGCCTTCCCTCACACTGAATGCCTCTGCCTGTACACTAAGAAAGGACTTGGGGCCTTTTTAAAATTTTAAATCATTTCTACAGTAGAAAAATACTTGATTTCAATTTTCTTTTTAAAATTGTTTATATAAAATAAATATTAAAATTTTAATGTAAAAAGTTCAACTTTTTTAAAGAAGGAAAAGAGCCCCTAAGTGCTTACTCTAGCTTTACGGTAGCTACGCCACTGGTAGAACGGAACTTGATGGTAGTCAGCGTCCTAACTGCATGATTTGCAATGCCAATTTTTACAATGCTAGTCTAGCACACGGCAAAACGAAGAGAAAACTTCCTTCCGCGGCATGGAGATCTAAAATACTAGAACACAAGGCTCGCTGAATTATGGTGAATGCGCGCCTTTCTGAACTGGCGTCTGAAAGGCAACAGCAGAAGTCACACAAAGTAAGCAGTATATATTCAATATTGTGTTTTTGTTTTTGTGTGAAAATGGTTTTGTTCTTTGAACACAGTGATGTTGATGCAGCTCACCATACTGTTAGGGTAATCGCATCAGGTTATTTGTCTTCCCTTCTGTTATTGAATATAGCAATCTATCTAGTGATTTAATTTTTTTAACAAACAAACAAACAAACAAACAAACAAACAAACAAACAAACAAACAAACAAACAAACAAACAAACAAACAAACAAACAAACAAACAAACAAACAAACAAACAAACAAACAAACAAACAAACAAACAAACAAACAAACAAACAAACAAACAAACAAACAAACAAACAAACAAACAAACAAACAAACAAACAAACAAACAAACAAACAAACAAACAAACAAACAAACAAACAAACAAACAAACAAAACAACAAACAAACAAACAAAAAAATAAACAAACAAAACAACAAACAAACAAACAAACAGGCAGACAGACAGACAGACAAACAGACAGACAAACAGACAGACAGACAAACAAACAAACAAACAAACAAACAAACAAACAAACATACAATCAAACAAAGGATGAATCGTTGCATGAAGTTAGATGAACACGTGTTTTTTCCCGGCCTCTCATCAACTAAACTGGTGCACTAATGGCTCAGCAGCTACTTATGGTAATTCCATTTAGCTCATTTAACTCGATCAGATTGTGTCTTTTTAAAAAAATTGTAATTAAAACAGTAATTAGTTTGAACCATCACTCGATAGTAAGAGTGACATTTATCTGTTTTCACATCTGGCTAATTAACTAAAGAGAATGAAGCAGTGTATTTGTTTAAAATATTTGCATATGATATTGTGCCTATGAAACTAATTTTTGTGACTTTTTGGCATAAAAAAATGATAAAATAAAATAAAATAAAAATTATAAATAAAAATAAAATAAAAGAATTATAAATAAACCGGGAGTGATCTCCCCTAAACTTTCTTGAATATTCTTATATAACACTACGGGGATGACAACTCGGGATATAGACCTGATTTTTATTCCATTTTTAATTACTTAACTTTTAAAATATAATAGAATCTCGAGGAAAAAAAAGTTCGCACCAAGCGAAGGCCAAACAATATGTGTATAATAGTGCGGAATATTATTACTACTTTATAAATTCACATGCGTTTTTTGAGAAATCGGAAATAGCGTAAATTACTACTTCCGTTCAACGGAAATTACTCAAAATTTAAAAGAAGGCACAGAATTAGATTTTTTACTTATATGTGAAATTTCGTTTATCTATCTGAAATAGAAATCAAGTTATAGGCTTTTGAAAAATCAAAAGTAGATTAAGTTTCACTTCCGTTTACCGGAAATCGCTGAATTGTTGATACACAACTACAGATTTTATATAATACTTGTATATGAAATGTCATCAACCTAGCTGTAACGGTACTCAAGTTATCGTGTTTACAGACACACATACAGACACACAGACATACGGACAGAATGGCAAAGCCCAGTTTTTCCGACTCGATTACGCATAGAACTCTGAAATTTTGATAAATCTGCATTTATTATTTTTGCTTATTAAAATATGTCCCCTATACTCCGTGTATGTTGAAGTACTGAGGTGTAAAACGATGAAAACTGTCAAAATTTCATGTGATTTTTGTGCAAGATGACTATACTTATTCCTCTATACTCTGTATACGAGAAAGTAAAAAAGGAATAAAAAGGAATGGGGTAGATGTAGAAGTTTGGACGATCAGAACGAAAGTTGTTTTTTTTTTCATCTTTTACCTTATCTCACTTATTTTCCTAAACTCGGGCAATGCCGGGTAAATGCAGCTTTATAACACACAAGTCATGGTCCTTTACAGATAGGTTATTCACAGAGGTCAGTGCAGGGCCTGGACGGGACAGCTAGTTGTTAAATTTAAAAAATTTGAATGCACTGAAAATAAAATGAAACAACCTTGATCTATTTAATAAAAAGCTTTGAATGCAAAAATATGTTAATTTATCTAATGAGCGACCAACGCAAAAAAAAAAAAACCCATTATTCTGCCGATTTGAGTAACACCAATGCGTGTCTAAAATGTTAATTTATGTTGACTCCAGTAATTTTATTTAAATTAAAAAAGCAAATTAGGAGACAGCTTTACATTAAAAAAACAATAACTGACCGCTTCAGGTGATTAAGATAAGAGCATAAAGGATCCTATGAGCTTGGCTTGTGGATCTCAACTTTCCCGGCGCAGTGAAAATACTCTAACTTTGTGTTTGGTAAGTTTTTGTAATTGCGGATGATAGTTGTTGTCTGTGGTAGGTATCCAGTACTTGTCTCTGGTAAGTATCCAGTACTTGTCTCTATTAGGTATTCAGTACTTGTCTCAAGTAGGTATCCAGTACTTGTCTCTAGTAGGTATCCTGTACTTTGAAGTGGTAGGTATCCAGTACTTGTCTCTAGTAGGTATCCAGTACTTGTCTCTAGTAGGTATTCAGTACTTGTCTCAAGTAGGTATCCAGTACTTGTCTCTAGCAGGTATCCAGTACTTTTCTATGGTAGGTATCCAGTACTTGTATGTGGTAGCTATCCAGTACTTGTCTGTGATATGTATCCAGTACTCTTTTGTGATTGTCTTTGTTATGTCTCTATTACTTGTTTGTGCTTGTCTTTGTTATGCCTCTATTACTTGTTTGTGCTTGTCTTTGTTATGTCTCTATTACTTGTTTGTGATTGTCTGTGGTTTGTATCCTTTAGTTATGTGTTAGACATCAGTAGTATGTATGTGATCACAATCAGTAAGCTTAAATAACTGTAAGCTTTTCAATCATCTTTTTATACTTATTAATTTGTAACTACTAGTTTGTTAATTATCTATTTAGATCGAATAACCTGCCTTTAAGAGAATGTCTTCCAAGATGTGGCAGACCAGACTATTTTCCGTGATCGTGTCTTGTTCTGCCATGCTGTACCTGACAACGGCAGACTATGGCATTACAGTGCTCCACACTAACGACGTTCACGCAAGGATTGAAGAAAGCGACAAGTCCGCTATATACACATTATTTTTTTTTACTATTTACACATTTTTATGATTATCTGTTCAACATGTTTGCACTTGCTTTTTTGGTTTTATTTAATCTTTTCACGTTTCATTCTTTGTCAAATATTGACTTAGGTTTTTCCTTTCCTATTATATACAACTTTTTTTCCTCTTCGTACCAATTATACAGCTACTTATGTTTTATCTTGCTCAAAATATACTTCTCCATCCCCCCCCCCCCTTTCACTGCTAACTACATTCTCCTTTATGTGTAGGTCCAATAGCGTAGCGAGGGGGGGCGGGAGGAGGGGGAGGGGGGACATATGTCCCCGGGCGCCGACCTTAGGGGGCGCCAAAATGGGTTGGAAAAATAAATTGAAAGGTTGAGGGGGATGCAAATCGAAAGTTTGAGGGGGGGGGGGTGTAAATCGAAATCTCGAGAGGGGGTGCAAATCGAAATCTCGAGGGGCGAGGGGGGGGGGGTACAAATCGAAAGTTTGAGGGGGGGGGGGTTCAGATCGAAATCTCGAGGGGGGTGCAAATCGAAAAGTTTGTCCCCGGGCGCCGGGAAGGGTCGCTATGCCTCTGTGTCGGGTAGGTCTACACACTTTTTGTCTTTTTCCCTCTCAGTTTACTTAATTTATATTTTCTCCAACATTTGATTGAACAATTACCTTGTCCTTTCCTCGCTGTAAAGCGAGATGAGACTAACCTGATATTATTTCACTACGCTCCTCCACATCTAACCGTTTCTGTTACATGGCGACCAGTGTCTATACTTTTAGTTACATTTATAACGTTTTTATACGTTGTATTTGTTAAATTGAAATTCTCTTTTTTACAATCCTCCCGTACTACACGTTTGGGTATCAATGGTGCATAGTACACCAAATAAACCGGGAGTGAACTCCCCTAAACTTTTTCGAATATTTTTATATAACACTACGGGGGATGGCAACTCGGGATATAGACATTATTGTTAATCCATTTTCAATTACTTAAACTTTTAAAAATAGAATAGAATCGCGTAGAAAAAAGAATTGCGCACGATGTGAACGCCAAACAAAAATGTGTATATTAGTGCGGAATAATATTGGTACTTTATAAATTCACATGCGTCATTTAAAGAATTCGGAAATACCCTAAGTTACTACTTCCGGTCAACGGAAATTACTCAAAATTTGACAGAAGGAAGAGAATTAGATTTTTTACTTATATATGTAAAATTTCATTTATCTATCCGAAATAGTACTCAAGGTATAGGATTTAGAAAAATTGAAAGTAGACAAAAATTATTTTCCGGTTATCGTAAATCGCTGAAAAGTTGATACAGATCTACAAATTTGATATAATAATTATATATGAAATTTCATCAACCTAGCTGTAACGGTACTCACGTTATCCTGTTTACACACACACAAACAGGCGTACGGACAAGATTGCAAAACTTTGTTTTTCCGACTCAGGGTGATGTAAATTTCGATATTTTTGTTTTGTTTTGCACAATTACAATACTTTCTCTATACTTCATATACGAGATAGTAAAAAATAGTTATGAAAAATTAAAGTTGGAGCTTGAAACACTTTGTGAGGATGATTTTTATAGACCCTACTCTAAGAAAAAAAGTATCAAATAAATCCATGGTCATTTTAACTTTTAAATAACTATAAAGAACACTACACATCAAAGCGAAGCGATACATTTACAGCATAGTCGCACGATAACAATTAATTGATTTTTTTAAATTACATTTTATTGCTGAATTAAATGAAGTATTATTTTCTAAGGAACGGAGCCCCCTGCACGGATGCTTTGAGATCCGCCGGTAAATGTTTTGGTGGGGTAGCCAGGATACGTACCATGGTAAGAAAACAATGAATCAATACAATACAAAAAATTTCTTAATAAATTCTGCTGCCTGCATGCGGTAACCACAGATACTTTAGTCTCCATTGTTGGGTGTCTTAATACTAGTTAGAAAAATATATCAAATTAAAATTGAAATGGTATTTACAAAGAGACGCATCATATTACTTATTGTATAAAATAAAAACTATTAATATACAATATCATAAAAGCTCGAATAATATAATAAACCGATGTTAAAACATGTCTTTCATCAATAACCGCATGCAATGTCACCGGTTTTTACAACAACAATTCGTCAGACGTTTTTAAAAAAGACGAGATCCTGTCTCTACAATGACAAAAAATGATATAAGTGACCATTCACACAATAACCAAAACTAACAAAACGTCTTGATTTTCAACAAAGTTCCATTTAATTTTAATTTAACATAATTAAAAATTCTGCAGAAGGTCTCATTTGCTCCAAAAGTCCCGCACATATAAGGCTGGTAAGTAGGTCCCCAACCAGTTCTATGCAGGTTTTATTGAGCTTTAGAACTAGTTGGTGACCTACGTACCAGCCCTATTGGCACGTAAGTCAGAACCTGCCTCCCCCCTTCCCCTACTTTTACCCCTAGATGTGTGCCATAAGTTACAGAACACGCCATAATGATGCGCCAATAACCGAAATACAGAACACCACATTTGATGGGAATCAGGGTACAAGTCAGTAGAACGTCATTGAATCCACCCAGCGCTGATGGGTACCTGACTCACGTTAGGGAAAGTAAAAGCGGCTAGGCGTAGTGCTAACCACATTATCCCTTTCTGTCGAGGTCACAGAAACAGGTGAACTCTACTTCACTTGCCCCAGGAACCGTCAGGTTCGAAAAGGTAACTTTTTGTTTTAACATTTGTTGTATCAGGTGAACCGGAAGAGGGCGGAGCACCAAAACACTATCCTGCTTGACGCCGGCGACCAGTTCCAGGGCACTCTCTGGTTCTATCAGTTTGGTGGCCTGGTCAGTGCCGAATTCATGAACCTTATTGGCTACAACGCTATGGTAAGGATTATAGGTATAGATTTAGGAGAATATTTTCGCTTTCACATCAAATGTGGCGGATTTAGGAGGTTAGTTTTCAGCTATATCACTGTTTTTTGGAAAATCCGCTTTAATTGTTTTAAAATTTGATTAAAATGTTAAGTTAAGAAAAAGCAAAAAGAAACACTGAAATTGGCTTTGTAATGTAACTGTTAAAGTAAATAATGAAATGTTTCTTAATTTTTATTTAGGAGACTTTGAATAATAATGTACATATATCTAAAGTTTAATAAACAGGGAGTGATCTCCCCTAAACTTCTCGAATATTCTAATATAACACTACGTGGGATGTCAACTCGGAATATAGACATGATTTTTGTTTACTTAAACTTTTAAAAATAGAATAAAATCTAGTAGAAAAAAAAATTGCGCACCAAGCGAGCACCAAAATAGTAATAGTGCGCAATATTATTAGTACTTTATAAATTTACATGCGTTTTTTGAGAAATCGGAAATAGCGTAAATTAGTACTTCCGGTCAACGGAAATTACTCAAAATTTGATAGAAGGTAGAGAATTAGATCTTTTACTTACATGTGAAATTTCATTTATCTATCTGAATTAGTACTCAAGTTATAGGCTTTTGAAAAATTCAAAGTAGAAAAAGTACCACTTCCGGTTATCGGAAATCGCTCAAAAGTTGATACGGATCTACGATTTTGATATAATACTTATATATGAAATTTCATCAACCTAGCTGTAACGGTACTTAAGTAATCGTGTTTACACACAGACAGACACACCGACACACAGACACACACACACACACAGACATACCGACAAGATTGCAAAATTATGTTTTTCCGTATCAGTGAGGTGTAAAACGTCGAGATTTGTAAAATTCTCGATTTTTTTTTGCACGATTACAATACTTTCTCTATACTACGTATATACGAGAAAGTAAAAATGATATATTATAAAAGCTGAAATTCTGGATATTTAAAAAAATTAAACTTCATAGATTCAGTCTCATAATTAATTGATATTCATTTCAAGAGCAACTACTATAATTAGTTTTCTTCATCAACCTATCTAATCCTTTCAAGCTCTTAACTATGACCTATATATATATATATATATATATATATATATATATATATATATTTATATATATATATATATATATATATATATACATATATATATATATATATATATATATATATATATATATATATATATATATATATATATATATATATATTTGTGTGTGTGTGGATGGGTATGCTTGTATTTTCGTGCCAACTTCTTTCTTTCCAATAGAATCTGGACAAGACTACTAACATGTACATTGTATGATGTCATTTATCTAAATGCTATAATACTCGATGGCAATATTACCCTTTCAATACCAGTAGCCTTAAAGTATTTTTAATCAGACCATTACCCAAAACAGTGTACTTGATTTGATACTAGACTGTGGTTTGCGACAAGTGCAAATTAGACTGGCCCAGTGTTTAAGGATATACCTCTGTAACAACCTCAAATGAAGTATGTAGTTGGATTTGGAATTTGGTACAACAAAGCTGTAAAAAGTAACACTCTTCGGCTTGTATCGTGATCATAAGTCACAAGTGACGTGGTATCACTTTGTCATCTATACCTAGACAAGTCCTTGACAGAATCATGCTCGAAAGATAAGGGAATTTTAGACACTGACTTAGCAATGATGTTTAAAATAAATAAATGTCCTGCTTTGATAAATATTGCAAAAGTAGGAAATGTTATAATGAAAAAACTACAATTGCGACTTTAGTAAAATCTAAATAAAAACGATTTTTGAAAAAAAAACCATATCCATAGGAATTTTTGAGGATCATAATCTGAAGTTGCTGACGAATGCTGTTTAATTATGAATCAAGAGAATGTGTTAGGGATATTAAAAATATCATACATGTTTTAGGCTGTTGGAAATCACGAGTTTGACAAAGGAGTTACCGGCCTAGCACCGTTTGTCAAAAATTTAAACTTCCCCCTCCTGTCCAGCAACATGCAGCTCGAGAACACGCCAGAGTTACGGGACCTGATCAAGAGGTCGACTGTGGTGACTGTTGGAGGGGAGAGAATCGGCGTCATTGGTTACACAACACACGAGACAGCCTTTTTGTCAGATCCAGGTGGGTTAGGTGTTACCGTGGGTTAAGGTGGGTCAGGTGTTACCGTGGGTTAAGGTGGGTCAGGTGTTAGCGTGGGTTAAGTGGGGGGGGGGGGGGTCAGGTATTACCGTGGGTTAAGGTGGGTCAGGTGTTAGCGTGGGTTAAGTGGGGGGGGGGGGGGTCAGGTATTACCGTGGGTTAAGGTGGGTCAGGTGTTACCGTGGGTTAAGGTGGGTCATATATATATATATATATATATATATATATATATATATATATATATATATATATATATATATATATATATATATATATATATGATTATTTATATTATTTTTGATTATTTGTTTGGACATGCAGGCACGGTATCCTTTATTGACGAGGCGAAGGGCATCCAGGCGGAAGTTGACCGATTGGTCGGTCAAGGGGTCAACAAGATAATTGCTGTCGGTCATTCTGGTTACTCGTACGACGTGGACCTGGCTCGTCACTTGACCAATGTGGACGTCGTTGTGGGCGGCCACACGAACTCATTCCTCTTTAACGGTAATCTCCCCTGTAGAAGTCTATCGGAGACTGATATTTCATAACGACAGTGTTACCCCGTTTGAATAGTTGTTTTTTTATATGTCCATCTCTGTAATGATTCTTTTATATGTTATAACTAATAACTTAAATTTTTTTGGATTATTACATTTCTGTTTAAATTTTGAATAAAGTCTAAAATTGTTTATCTTAATGTAACTTATGGATAATTCTCTAGAACAGTGGTTAGAGATACCGAACCCCATCAGTTTCATATACGGATTCACCGTACTCTTTTTAATAGTTATATCATCCACACTGACTAAATCTGATCGTGAATCATATGAGTCAGGTCTGTCTCTTAACTTCCACTGACCCCTCAGACGAACTCACCGAACCCCTGGGGTTCGCTCAAACTGGGGTTCGATATTATACTGTTCTAGCCAAATTAAGATTCAAAAACAACAACTATAACTACGACGACAAATGCTAAGCGACAGACGTTTATTTAAACCTAGCAATACGAGATATGAATTAATTTAAACGTTGTTACATCCCCAACATCAAGCGAGTTGTTTCCCTCTACCATAGGTGTTACGCCGAGTGAGTGGGTTGAGTCACTTGATTCGGTTCAATACCATTTAATTCAGTTTCACTACCATGTAGAGAGATTACAACCTTAAGCAACTATTAGCCTATTTCACATTCAGACGACTAGATGACGCTCATAGATAAGACGAACGCAATAACTCCTTCTTCCTATTCTTTATTCTGGTATCTACATACATATCACTAGAATCTATCACCCAACTCGAGTTATAGGCTACCAGTTAGCACACGTCCTTTCACACCGACGATCAAGATAAGACTAACTCACACACAAACTCATAGCAACTAAGTTGCTACACAAATACCTCACTATCTTTCAAAACCGCCTCATCCTTCTTATGTGTTCAATATACACTTTTCCCACCTACATTCACTGTGCTAATCTCTACCTGAAACATGCATCATAACAATAGGAACTAATCCATCGAGCGAGTTGTTTATTTTTACCATAGGAACTAACCCATCGAGCGAGTTGTTTATTTTTACCATAGGAACTAGCCCATCAAGCGAGTTGTTTATTTTTACCATAGGAACTAACCCATCGAGCGAGTTGTTTATTTTTACCATAGGAACTAACCCATCGAGCGAGTTGTTTATTTTTACCATAGGAACTAACCCATCGAGCGAGTTGTTTATTTTTACCATAGGAACTAGCCCATCAAGCGAGTTGTTTATTTTTACCATAGGAACTAACCCATCGAGCGAGTTGTTTATTTTTACCATAGGAACTAACCCATCGAGCGAGTTGTTTATTTTTACCATAGGAACTAACCCATCGAGCGAGTTGTTTATTTTTACCATAGGAACTAACCCATCGAGCGAGTTGTTTATTTTTACCATAGGAACTAACCCATCGAGCGAGTTGTTTATTTTTACCATAGGAACTAACCCATCGAGCGAGTTGTTTATTTTTACCATAGGAACTAGCCCATCAAGCGAACACATCGAGGGCAACTACCCTACCGTCGTAAGCTCACCCAGCGGGGATACAGTCCTCGTCGTTCAGGACTACGCCTTTGGTAAATACCTGGGTGAGCTGAACGTCGTATTTGATGACGCTGGGAAGGTCAAGTCGTGGACTGGGAACCCAGTTCTGCTGGACAAGAGCGTGGAGCAAGGTCAGGCTTGTCTCGTGCATTGAATCCTTTAAAATTTCTTAGACTTTTCACTACAGTTTTATACAGTGGTTTTTTTTTTTAACACCTTAAGCAGACCAGTGGCGTAGCCTAGAGTTGGTCATGGGAGGGGTTCAAATATTTTACCATATATATAAAATCATATATATATATATATATATATATATATATATATATATATATATATATATATATATATATATTTATATATACGGGTGTGAGTCCATGGGAGGGGTTATAACCCCCCCCCCCCCCCACCTTGCCTACGCCACTGAAGCAGACTGAATAACAGAAAATAAAAGACGTATAAAAACGTTTATAGTAGTAAGCTTTTATTTGCACTGAATGTAAGAACATAATAAAATCATTTTTGCTAAGAATAATAACATTGCTTGTTAAAATACGTAATACATTTAAAAAACTAACAGTGCTTTAACAAGGGCAAGCCAATTTTTTTTTCTAATTTTAGAGCATTAAAAAGCTTATTCTTATAAAAGTTTTATTTATTATTATTCTGCTATTTAGTAATTTTGAATTTTAACCCTTAAAATAATTCAGCGATTAAGTTTATAAAAACAATCAGTACTTTTACGAATAAAATGTTTGCTTTAAAACCCGATAAGTTGCTGACGATCATTACATACACGAAATTATCTGCTCCTCATTTACATCCGTTCGGTCCCTGTAGGATATTTACTAGTACACAGAGTTTCTTCCAGGCATCTCTTCGAAACGAAATGAAATTTTTATAGAAAATATATACTTTTAACAGTGCCCCCCCCCCCCCCAAGAGAGTCTAACCCCCCCCCCCCCCAACGAAATGGAATTTTTAAAGAAAATAATTTTAACAGTGTCCGCCTCCCCCCCCCCCCCCGAAATTTTCAAGTGCCCGCTCCCCGGAGAAAAAAGTCTGAAAGAAACACTGCTAGTACACAGCTCTAACAGGTCAAGACCAGTGACCTATGATTTCGTTTCACACCGGGAACCAACTAAAAAAAGACATTGTCAATAAAGAAATAGGTTCAAATTTACCAGGTCAAAATCTGATAAGTAAAGAACTAGATCAAAACTCTACAGAAAACTCTGCCGATAACTTACCAGGTAAAAAAACACCCAGATAACTTAATAGATTAAGGACTGAAAAATAAATTACTAGAGTCATTCCAAAGTAAAAGCGGCTGGGCTAAGTACAGACGTTAATATAAGCAACCGTTGTTCATTTTTCCTTCAACAGAGAAAGAAGCGGCCTCTATAGTTGCTAAGTACCTGCCACAAATCGACGCACTGAAGCAGTCGGAGATCGGGGAGACCTATGTCAGTTTAATGGCTGATAGAGTTCTCTGTAGGACTAGAGAGTGTAATCTAGGTGAAGTATTTTTAGGTGCCCAGAAAGATGCGCGGTGGAAAACTGCGGAACGGGAAAATGCGCTACGGAAAAAGGCGCAACGGAAAACTGCGCACACTAAAATGCGCAAGGGATGTTTTTCTTTAAATCGTTTATTTATAGACGTTAACAAACAATGAATAAATGCACTTTAAAGCAGAGTAAAACATTTTTCTACAAAATATGGCACAATCAAAGTGTATTAGTATTGTGTGTTTGTATATACGCATTTTTATGTTTGTTTAGTTTTCGGTTGGGCATTTTTTCGATTGCGCATTTTCTGGGAACCATTATTTTAATTCTATTTTGACTTTTGAATTACTCCTCGCTGACAGGGTCCTGTGTAAAATTGTGTAAAATTGGTGATGTCTTCTGACAGTGTCATACTGAACTATTGTGTCAGTCCGAGTTTGTCTGTCCAATAGAATCTCCGTATCTCTCCAACTATGTCCTCGTGTCTATAATATCCGTCTTAATGAGTCTCTGTCTCTCCAACTGTGTCCTCATGTCTCTCGTGTCCATCTAAATGAGTCTCTGTCTCTCCGTGTCCTCATGTCTCTCGTGTCCGTCTAAATGAGTCTCTGTCTCTCCAACTGTGTCCTCAAAATGAAAATGTACCTTGATTATGTTGCGCATTTGAAATAAAGTTACACCATAAGTGTAGGTGTTAAAATCTATAACTGATACCAATATAACCTTATAAACATTATGCGATGATTACCGGGTGACAACTATGCCTACAAGCCCATATTTACCTGACAAAAGTGTATCTGACATCGATCTTACATGCAGGTAATTTAATCACTGATGCCATTGTCTATTACAATCTACGGCCTACAAACACATCGTGGTCTGAAGTTGGGATGGCCATTGTCAACGCTGGAAGCTTCAGGGCGTCTATAGCCATTGGTCAGTCAGTTGAAATATTAGTTTTATATCTATAGCCATTGGTCAGTCAGTTGAAATATTAGTTTTATATCTATAGCCATTGGTCAGTCTGTTGAAATATTAGTTTTATATCTATAGCCATTGGTCAGTCAGTTGAAATATTAGTTTTATATCTATAGCCATTGGTCAGTCAGTTGAAATATTAGTTTTATATCTATAGCCATTGGTCAGTCAGTTCAAATATTAGTTTTATATTTATTGTCATTGGTCAGTCAGTTCAAATATTAGTTTTATATTTATAGGCATTGGTCAGTCAGTTCAAATATAAGTTTAATATTTATAGCCATTGGTCAGTCAGTTCAAATATAAGTTTTATATCTATAGCCATTGGTCAGTCTGTTCAAATAAACGTTTATAGCTATAGCTGTTGGACAGTCATTTCAAATATTCGTTTTTATCCATTAACTTTGGTTAGTTGTTTAAAACATTTTTATATTCATCACTATTGTTTCGTTAATCAAAACATTCATCAATATCTATAAACATTGATCTGTCAGTTCAGACATTATTTTATATTCATCAACATTTTTTCGGTTAATCAAAACACTCATTAATATCTATCAATATTGGTTAATCAGTGTAAAAACATTAATATTTTCCATCTTTTAACATTGGTCCCTTGTGATTGTCCACAGGAAAGATATCCACAGAGAACATAATATTTCTTCAGCCTTTCCGAAACGAGGTCGACATGATCCAGGTGACTGGTCGAACAATTCTGGACATCTTTGAGTACTGCGCGAGCAAATGGACGGACAAACTGGACGACGCTTTCGGTGGTTTCCTGCAAGTATCAGGTAAAAACCTGGTTCTGTAAATATCAGGTGAGATAAACCTGTTTTATGCACGTCTAAGGTAAAATAAATCTGTTTCTTGGAAATTTCAGGTAAAATAAATATTTTTTTAAAAATAAGTCCTCGATAAAATAAACCTGTTTACAGTAAGTCTCAGATAAAAGAGATATTGTGAGTTAAGAAAAAGGTTTGTAATAGAGCTTGTAAGTAGATCACCAAATTCTCGTATTTTACAAACCAAATGTGAAATGTGTTTTTGAAATCGGTAAAAAAAAAGTTTCTTCCGCTATTGTTATGTTATTTAAAAGCATTAACAATGATAATGATAGACTACATGATGAAGGCTAGGTTAAACAAAAATATAGTGTACGTTAAATTATGAAACCTTAACAAATTGTCCTAAATCTAAATACAATAACAATATAAATAAAGGATTGTGGTTCTTAATTTGATTCTATTATTTGTAAAATTTTTAGAATTGTTGCAATTTGGGCACTTTTGGCATTATAATAACTCAAAGCGAGGTCTAGAAACAAATACACGTTGTGGTTTTTTTTTGTTTTGTTTATCAATGGGAATCATGTTCACAACAATTAATTTAGTTTTAAAAAATGTATATCTCTGCCCGGCTATCGATATTTCGAAATTTTAACGAGAGAGTCCGAGACTTACAAGCCCTATAAGTAATTGAGAACCGCTGATCCAAAACTGGAATATGTCTTCTACCAGGCATGCAGGTGACGTACAATCTGGTCAAGCCTGTTGGTCAGCGTGTACACGAGGTACTGGTTGTGTGTACTGAGTGTGCCGTACCAAGACTGGAACCGCTAGTTCTAGACCGGAAGTACAACATTCTCTCCAGCGCGTATCTCATCAATGGAGGAGACGGTTTCAGCATGATACCTCAGGGCATCATCAATAGGTTGCCGTTAGGTAAGTGGGCAGAATACTAGGGCAACATCAACATGTTGCCGTTAGGTAAGTTGGTGGGCAGGATACTAGGGCAACATCAAAATGTTGCCGTTAGGTAAGTTGGTAGGCAAGATACTAGGGCAACATCAAAATGTTGCCGTTAGGTAATTGGGCAGGATACTAGGGCAACATCAAAATGTTGCCGTTAGGTAAGTTGGTAGGCAAGATACTAGGGCAACATCAAAATGTTGCCGTTAGGTAATTGGGCAGGATACTAGGGCAACATCAAAATGTTGCCGTTAGGTAAGTTGGTGGGTAGAATACTAGGTTATTATCAATATGTTGTTGTTAGGTAAGGTGTTGGGCAGGATACTAGGACATCATCAATATATTGTTTTTAGTTAAGTTGGTGGGCATGACACACTAGGTTATCATTAATATATTATTGTTAGGTAAGTTGGTGGGCAGGATACTAGGGCATCATCAATATATTGTTGTTAGGTAAGTTGGTGGGCAGAATACTAGGACATCATCAATATATTGTTGTTAGGTTAGTTGGTGGGCATGACAAACTGGGTTATCATTAATAGCCCTTCTCAGTTGGGTTTATTTGCATAATGCAATACGGCATCATTTAAAACGTCTAGGAAAGCAAAGGCGACTTGTGATTTGTCTAACACAATTCTCAATGAAGCAGCGATAACCTAAACCTACCACCGTTTATACTCGCTATCTTGACAATAATTATATTATATTATATATACACTGTTGTGGTTAATTTGTTATTAAAATGTCATCCATTACAATATTTTCTCTGACAACAATTTACAGCATGTAATAATAAAAAAATTGATTGAGTCTCCAGTGTTATATTCAAACATCGTTTTTTCTACAACTCAGGTCAACTTGACACTGATATTCTGTTAGCCTACGTTAAGAAGTTCAGCCCTATAACGACCGGTCTTGAAGGAAGAATCCGCCATCTTGCTGAAGTTGTTGATGCTAAATACTGCCCAGGGCAATAATCCATATCTAAACGATGACAAAAAGTTTAAGAAAATAAAGTGGATGTAACAAGAGCTTTGATTTTTTTGTCGCTTTAATATATTTAAAGAATACCAGTGACCTTCGCCTTTCTTTATAGTTATTTAAACAGTTAGGCAGTATTAGATATTTAATCGTGTAGAGAGGATGGAAGAAAGCTGTGTTACTGAAATAGAAATATTAAAAGAAAGTGATATTTCAACGCCAAAGGTAGAGAAAGGTACAGAACATAGTCCAAGTAGAGACAGAGCAAAGGGATCCGAACCTACCAATCCACGCGGCACCAAATCGCCTCGCCTTCCATGCATTAAGTCAGATGGTTACACGTAGAGCTGAAATAGAGCTGATTGGCAGAAGTGATTACACGTATGACTTAATGCATGGAAGGCGAGTAGATTTTATTGCCGCGTGGATTGGTAGGTTTGGATCCCTTTGGGTTTGACTGCTCTGTCTCTACTTGGACTATTTTCTGAACCTTTGTCTGCTCATGGCGTGGAAATATCACATTCTGTTTATATAGTTATTTAATGAAAATGATTTACTTTTAACTGTTTAGTGTATTATTATATAAAAGAGTATTAATAATACGCTGTTTATTAAGTTTTTAAATGAACACAAACTATATGTACACACTAGCGCGAAAATTAGTAATTAAAATAAGAAAATGTTACTAATTCATTAGAAGTTAATTACACATCCAATTAAGTAAAATTTGATGTCACAATGAGATGTCATCGGATCTTGACCCACATGCCAAGTTTCAAATAAATTGACTCGTTAGGAATGGTCGAAATTTCACTTGCCATCTTTGAAATTACATGACGGACGAAGCATTAAGCACGACAGAGAGACAGGGGAAGCAAGTTACATAAAAACTTGTAAAAAGGGAAAGTTTATTTATAATAGAAAAAAGTATGTTGCTATTTTTCTCTAAAACAGATCTACATCCTTATCTTTTACAATAAAAATATATCGTGACTCTTGGATTTAAAGTGAAAAGAGGTGCCCAAGTTATTGAATTAAAGCTTGTCTTATTGTAATGATTTTATAATATTCTAATTTTATTAAAATTGATAACAAATACATGTAATATAAGCAGACAACAATTCGCTGACGAAGAAATACATTTAATATCAAATAACAATCAGAAAATTGTATGAAAAGGTTTAAAATCAGTGTATGTTTATACATTAAAGTGTTGTGAATACGCAGTAGATTGTGGCTGATTATTTTTTTATATATCTAATTTAAGATATGCTAAAACTGTATCTGTCAAATGCTTCATTGTTAGAGTTATAAATTTGTTCTTTATCAAGTTTGTTTCACAGTTCTAAAGTAGAAAGCTAATTTGCTATAAAATTAATGCAAGCAATAGTGAATGTCAAACCAGAATTTTAGTGATTACAAGTAATTACGTGGACTTAATATTTATAAATGGAGCTTCATAAATTGTTTTTATATTTTTAAAAAAGTGTAAGATTTTATGTAGTTTAAGGATACATTAAAACATTAATATTCATTTTACTTGAACGATTTAGTCTATCAACGGTTGTCGGGCTGTAATAAAAACCAGTGTTTTCATCTGTTGAACGATAATTAGAAATTTAGAACCACTATGGTGACCTAGAATAGTTTATAAAAAGACGGTTGATGTTACATTTCTTGTTTAAATCTTTCGTTTACTTAAAGACGATTCAACACATTTCAACATGAAGGTTCTAATTGTTTGTTTGCTTGCTGTTACGTTTGGTGAGTCAATGGTTGTAGGTTGTTTTGTTCACAGTTATAGCTGTGGAGGATATTTATATCTGTAGCTTTGAGTAATATTAACAGCTGTGGGTTATGTTAACAGCTGTAGAAGTAATGGTATTGACAGATGTAGCTGTGGGTTATGTTTACAGCTGCAGCTTTGGGTGATGTTCACAGCTGTAGTCGTGGGTGATGCGTTACAAATGTAAATGTTAGTAATGTTTACAGTGGTAGATGTGTCTGATAATTTTAACATTAGATGTGGGGGGTGTCTCTAGCTGTAACTGTGGGAGATGGTTACTTTTATAGGCGTGGTCAAATGGTCAAGCTTACGACTGCTAACCAGAAAGTCTCGAGTTCGGGTCCCTATTGTCGAGTCCACAGGACGTCCTTTAGTCCACATACCTCTGATGGGTTTTTGGATTACGACAAAGCGTGACCAAACGATCCCTATGTATGTCGAGTTCTTAAAACAGATAAAGTCTACCATTCTGCCCCGTGTGTAATAGACATGGACGGTAAAAGATAATGATATGGTTTAATTTTGTAGCTGTGACTTTTGAAATCTGTAGCAGTTGGTGATGTTCACATCTTTAAATGTTATATAGTTTACTGCTTACTGATGTATTTTTAAACACACAGATTTTTACTGCAGTATTTACGAATACACAAATGATGAATTGTCAAAAGGTTGCGCAACATTACATTTCAGGCTAGAGATAAAAATTCTCAAGTTCTTTATTAATTCTAAGTAATTTTAAAAATATACCAGCACATGTAGGCCTAATTGTTTTTTTCATTATTTGATTTGTTATGTTGTCCTGACAAAATAAAACATTTTGACCTATTTTTATCATCCGCTGTTGAATTGGCTGTTAGATTAGCCTCCCTCTACATTGTTATTGATTTCCAATGCTATTTTCGTATCAAGACGAGTTAACTCGTGACACACGGTAAAGGGGTTAAGAAAATGATTATATGTATTAGCTTTGAGTCGAAGCATTGGAAATTGAATTTTCATTTCATTAAATCAAGTTTCAAACTTAGGAATAATCGCGAATTAGCTTGAAAAAATTTTGGGTTAATAATATTTATAAAACTCAAAAAGCTCGACAAATGGAATAAATACAGTACTTTTCTTTTGTCAATAAATATAGTTATACTTCGTCTTACTTGTGATCTAGCTATTATAGATTGTAACACTTTCTGATGTGCAACGATGGTGTAAATTCTCATTATAAGAGTAAGAGTAATTTACACACTTTTTTAATAAAAACATAGTTTTGCATGTTAAAATATATAAATATATAAATTTATTAAATGAAACAAATGTATCCCTATATATTATGAACTAAACGACACAAAAGTAAAATTCACTTACGAATCTGGCGGTCCATGGGATAAAGTAAAGCTCACTTGTTTTTGGGATCTGGCATTTAATGGAATGTGTGGTCAGGATTATGACCAGCGTCTTAACATTCATCAGTACTGAGTGTACTAAGAAAAATCCTACAAAATGGAACCTGATATCCAAACAAGATATATTCGGGGTAGAAGTCGAGTGGTCTAACGTCCTTATACACAATACTAAAGCTGAAGCCTTTGTTATTATACAAAAATAACCCTTGAACAATTGAATCAATGTATATAATTCTCTACGTGGACACCACCACGACGCAAACCGACTATCTAATTCTCCTCCCGCCCCCTGCCTCGCTCTCCAGGAATAAAACAACTAAATAGAGGCGTATGCTACGCCGCGGGTCGGTTTGTAATTTTTTAACCACGCTGTTTACATAAATAATTCAACCAAAATTAAAGCGTGGTTTGATAGGATTTGTTAATTTCATTTTTATTTTGTTTTGACCAGTTTCGTCAGCTGTGGTTAACCAGGACAAGAGAAGACAAATTTTTGGCATTTGTGCTGAGATGTGTGGTGCCGGTTGTCCCCCTGGAACTGTCTGCGAGTCTAACGGATGTGGACACACCTGCCAGCCAATCACAAGTTAGTTAAAATCGTTTTTGTGATATTGTTTTTATTTTTTAAATTCTGAATCCGTAACTAAAACACAATTTTTTACTTGACTCTATTATGGAATGATCTGCCGCTTATATAACAACTTAACAATCTGTTTTTATTTCCTTGCAGCTGCTGTCAAAAGAAAACGTTGTGTGATTATTCATTTATGTTTTGACAATTGTCCGTTCGGCTTTTCTACAGCACCGGACGCATGTCCATGCACTTGTAACGATACACCTCCTTTTAATATTTTGATTGGTTAAGAACTTCCAGTGACAAATACAGTGTGTTTGTCACTAACACTTCTACTGTTGTCATATCGTCCGTGCGTTGAACTTGTCACGACCTTTATTAAAGTAACGTAAATAAAGTTGTCCACAGTTCAATAAAGCCAGTGGCCATACAAAATACAATTACTGTTTTATGTGTGGATGCACATAAGATTAAAACAGTGGTTCGTAACCTGTTTGGTGGCACCAAACTCCACCAGTTTCATAGGCGCATTCAACGAACCCTTTTAATAGTTTTATAATCAGCACTGACAAAATCCAATCGTGAATCATGTGAGCCTGGGTGTATCTTGACCTCCGCCGAACACATGAGACTGACTCGCCGATCGAACCCAGGTTAAGATCCGCTAGACTCAACAAAATATCTTTTTTTTTCCTGTATGACACAGCGTGGGTATTGGGTTGAGCTGGAGGGATAGGTTTGTTTCCCAGTGGGAGTGAGTAGGGGTAGAAAAAAGCAAGGCAGTCGGTGAGTACTTGACCACGGTGGTTCATAGAGTGGAGGAGGCTTGGTGTGTGCTGAAGGGGTACTTGACTCACTCAATCCTCTTATTACGTAACTCTATCGCTAATAAATATTACGTAACTCCCGAATTCTTTTGGGCTGGTCTTAGACTGAACAAATTATACGAAACTAATAAAAGAGTACCAGAAACAAAAACTCTTCATAGGCTCGAATCTATTGTCTAGGGATAAATATGAAATTTAAAGACTTTCTGCAACTAATAAATCTTTTAATCAATCTAAAACCTTCTAAAATATAAACAAGTCTAAATAATAAAATACTATGTACTAAAATATACAATGATGAAAAAACCCAACTTACAAACGCAGGAATAACACACTGAAACTACTAACACTGGCTAAGGTACCTAAGTTATTGCCAAAACCTACACGTTATTAAAATAAGACACAGACAAATATTGAATACACTGGAACTTAGAGATAATCTAGAAAATACAACATGGCGACGTGGCTCTCTCTCTGTGCTGGTGTCTCGTGGGCGCCTACTTTATATACCACTCTGAAATTATGGGATGTTGACCTCATTTTCAACCACCATTGAGGGATGGAGCCAAATCACGAGCCACACGAACTCAGTTGTGAATACTATCATCTGAGTCTGGTGGAAAATTTCTTTAGTTTGAACAACAGACAGCTTAAGGCTATTTAAATATTAATAAAATTAACAATAAATAAAAAGAAGATCTAAGTAGGTCACACTCTTTACTCCTTGTGAAGCATAATGACTCAGTCAAAACTTTAATTTTGTTCGGTCGCCGGCTGTTAATTTTGAAACCTCCAAAGACAACCCTGCTGTCTTCAGATCTTCAAGAAGACTCCGCCTCCAGGTCTGTCTTGGGCGTCCTCCCTTTCGCTTTCCCTGGGGGTTCCACTCCAGCGCCTTGCGGATCAAATTAAAGTGAGCCTTTCGCAGTGTGTGTCCCACCCGGCGCCACTTTCTCCTTCCTCATTACACTGTCAATGGCTCTTGTATTGCTTTTCTCCAAAGTTATATATTCGACACCTTGCACTACCAATTCAATTTCAATATCTCTCTAAGACATTTCTTCATTAAGGTCTGTATCTTCTTTGTGCTTGCTCGGAGACTCTTCATAACATAAACTGGCTTGACATTTTAATTTAGAAGCCTACTTTGTGTTGTGTTGTTGATGATATTATTTTTCCACACGGGTCGCAGAACTGTAAAAGCTGGAAAGGTAACAGGGGGTGTAAAGGTGTGGCATTATGAACGTGGAGGACAGCGAGTAGCTGACCTTGCGATTGTGGATTGTGGATTTATGTGACGTCAAGATGATGGTGTTGATGTAACTTAAGGTTATGGAGAGTGGCAGGCCTTGAAATTATGGATTTGCGTAACGGAAAGATGGTTTTGTGGATGTAACTTCAGGTTATATAAAAATGGCGACCTCATGGTGCAGGGGTTTTAACTCAGAGTTTTTTTGCACAGGATAGAGATGTTGAAGCTCATACAATGAAGTTTTCCTGAAGGTATCTATGTATACATTTCTTAAATAGATACAACTAGAATACTCGTTTAAATAAAGTAACACAATCTCTCAGTAACAAATCCACACGATGAAACCTCTAATGACAGGAAAGAATTTCCAGTAAACATCTGTAGCAAAAAGTAGTTAGCCGCCCATAGACCAAGACGTCAAAACAGGCAAGAGGAGATGGATTGGACAGACGGCTAGGGAACATAATAAAGCAGGCATTACACTAAAAAAAATTCCCAGGTGAAACAAGCGAGTTGGCAGATCAAATAAATCTTGAAAAAAGGACTATAGCAAACCAAGTAAGGAAAGCTGGTTTTATATGTGTCCAACGGAAGGTACTCGTCTAGAATCATCATTTAGACATTAATTGGAATGTTAATTTCAATATTACAACGTTTTCTGCTGGAATCATGATGAAGAACTGTGCGGAGTGGGGTGTGGCTTTTGTGTCTGTGTGGAGTGGTGTTGTTTACGAATGTAGAGATGTAGGGTTTGTTAGTGTAGAGTAATAGGCGTTTTGTGGGGGTTGAATGGTGTGTGTGAAGTGGTAGGGATTATGTGCGGTGAGAGGTATTGTTTGTGTGGGAAGTAGAGCCTTCATAATTTTATGGGTAAGCTTAAAGACTCGCATGAGCTGGTAGTAAAACAATTGGTGCCCAAACGATCTTGCAACCTTATAGCGAAGATTTGGTAAAAACTGGGTTAAAAACGAGGTCCCTTTATGGATGACAGAAATGACACAAATATATTATGGTAAAAATTTTTTTTCGATAATCAATATGTGGATTTAAACAGTTATTACATTTGTAAAAACATGAATCAATTAGCCCAAACGAAACACTAAACGAGAACTATTTTAATTTTCATACATATCTGCTTATAGTTCCAGAATACCAATTGCAGTAAACATTAATTAACTATATAAGAAAAATACCACTAAATAGACAATTAACACTTACCAGATACAATGTGAACGTAATTACTAATATAATGCTAAAAATGGAAAGAAAATCAGATATACGTTGAAAACAAAGAGTAGTTAATGAGAAGAACATGTCCGATACGGCCAACGCTGTTAATATAATGTTGGTTGTCTCCCTTAGGCTGCTGTAAAAAAAAAGAATTACAACGGTAAATGCATTACCTACAATCCCAAACACGCACAAAACTGGGATGATTTAACCGATAACTATAAGGGTAATATTGTTAACAATTTCATTCAATACATCATAAAGAAGTTGTGTTGTTGTTTCTGAACTAAGTGTTATTACTAAACTTCATTTTTAGTTTTCATTCGTAACTGAGAATCTGAAAGCATTAAACAAAATGGTTTAAAATGTAAATGATGAATTCATTTAATTTTTCAGAATTTTCAGAATTTATTTTAGTAGATTCACTAATACGTGATAATGTAAACAGTCCGCACAAGCCGGTGAATAAAACTGTAATACTAAAGCGAACATGGCAAGGCAAACTGATGCTGTAAATAACATGTCTGGGGTAATGTTAAGTAAAATGTTTGTAAAAAAATTAATAAATGTAATACAATAAAAATAATGTAAATACAGAACTTACTTAAGTTAAGCTCTTAAAATAAACCAAAAAGATTCAAAGATGTTTTCAATCACTTTAACAAACAATAAGGTATTTCAACAAATGTTTTGATCTACAAATTCGATATAATACTTATATATGAAATTTCATTAACCTAGCTGTAACAATACTCAAGTTATCAAGTTATAGCACCCTGCCGGAAAGCCTGCAGACACGCTTGATTCAATTTAGTGAACGACTACAACGCGTCATTTTATCCATAGTCTATTGCACTTTTTAAAAGGAATAGCCCAGAACGCCAAATCGCACCCTGCCTGGGCACAGGGGGCGCGCCTGATTATGTTTAGTGATCGACTCTAATACCCCATCTTATGCATAGACTTTCTCACTGTTTAAAACGAGCGAAAACGTCATAATGCGCACGTGATTGTCCGGGGCGCCAAATCGCACTCTGTGGGACGCTGGAGTACCCGCATGATTATGTTTAGTAAAAATATTCTAATGCTCCATCTTATCCATAGTCTATCCCACTGTTTAAAACTAACGTAGGCGCTATAGAGTTCACGGGAAAGCCTATGGTGCCAAATCGCTTCCTGTCGGGCGCTGATAAACGTTGTCGAACCGCAACCAACTTTTATTTCTTATATACTGTACATACAGAAATATCGCCCCCATACTGGGGCGCCAACCATGGGCATATAAAAAAGATTTTTTTGCAGAAACCTCTGCTTATGAACTCCCCAAAGTTTCATTGCGATTGGATAAACCGTGTCAAACCGCAATCGGCTTTTATTTTTCATATACCGTATATAAAAAATAATCGAATTGCGCCCTGCCGAGGAGCCGCCCATGCCAATTTGAAATACTTTTTTGCAGATACCTCCTTAGGAGTATTGTCAAAAAAGTTTCGTTTTCGTTAGTCAAGATGCACGTATCTCACACTAATCTATCTCATTGAAATGAATTGAAATGCCATTAACCTGGTGTTTCCCTTTTGGCCACGTTTACTTTTAACTGCAGATCGTTATTAAAAAATCCTGTCCAAGGAGGTTTGTTACTTACTACCATTGCGAATCAGGCAAGTAACATCAAATAGCTACAATGCACTGGCAGGTTTCAGCTTTTTTGTAGTAAATATTTTCCACGAACTTTAAATCCCACTGATCTGCTTTCTCTAAAACAGAATATCGTTCGTGTGTGTGTGTGCGTGCATGCGTTTGTGCGTGCATGCGTATGTGCGTGTGTGCGTGTGTGTGTTTGTGCGTGTGTGTGTGTTTGTGCGTGTGTGTGTTTACACGCACATTTCTAGGATGTCACATTTTCTAAGTATCTGCTGATTCTCGTTCCCCTTCAGTGCTCAGGACACACGCTGACACACACATTCACGAATATGTTACGTTCGTGCTTAACATATATTTTACAGCGTGTTGAACATTTTACTTCAGTTAAACACAAGTAAAACACGCATTACATTGACAAAGATCTATTTTAGGATTTCTAATGAATGCGGTTTACTAGCGCCCGATTGCCTATTTTTCAAATGGTTTA